CAGTAGAAAACTTGATAATAACACAGCATGTTGATGTACAGTATAGTATATAGTATATATGAGAAGAACGTTAATCGTCAAATTTTACACTCAAATATATTTAACTCAGCTCCTCACCTGAACAGGTTCTCTGCTCCTGCCCTCATCCTCATCTCCTTGTTGATCTGCTGATTGATGCGAGCTCGTCTGTGCTGTAGTTTACTACGCTGAGTCTGGGAAAAAGGATCACATCCCTTTGAAGATAATGAGGAATATGCAATTAAATTATTAACGATTAAGAACTAAGATCAGATTGTATTTACAGCCATCTGGAAAAAATCACTTTTGCCAGGCTTCTATTGTTAAAATAAATCAGCAGTTAGCTAAATGTTTTATTCAACATTACCTGCATATTCAGTTTTCTAAAACATTCTGGATTAAAATCCCTGAGCTCAACCCAAGTCAGGAGTCAAGGAGTTTTATGGAGTTTCACTCTACAAAAAAGGTTTCCCAAGAAGCTATTTCCAAAAAAAAAAGTAGAGTTGAGATACTGTTACTGCTCAATCTGTAACTTTCCATTACTACAGCAGTAGACATTTACCAATCCCAGTGAAAAGTCCAAGTTGTGAAAACTGACAAATGTGTCTGGGTGGTGGCCGTTGGAGAAGAGTTTGTGTTTATTATGGTAGTAGATCAGAGCTGGGTACGATTTAAAGGCTTCTTCTATCTCAATTTAGCAGGCATTTAGGGCAAAAGAACCCCAAACAGCTCACCCACCCTACTCACAAAAAACAAGAAATAATCATAACTGTTTACCACAACATGACAGATGGAGCAGCTGTGCAGTAATCATGCTGAAATACTCCCTTCTTCCCTATCCGCCTGTCTTCCGCCATCACGTTATACAACACCCTTAATTTGTGTAATTGATAAGTGTTTGTCATTTTCTCCCGCTGCTTCCATCCTGCTCTTTCTCTCTCATCCACTGTAATGTTTTTGTTTTATTTGTACACATTAACTAATCCCAGACCTGTCTGTAAAGTTTGGTCTCTGGCCAAGCTTCCAGCTTGTTGAACCTTTAAGGATCGTATTTAACGTCTGTGTAATCAATGACTAAGGACCACGTCAGGTCCCAAAAAACAAGTGCCTCTCTTTGTAGAGTGTGCCAGTGACTGACCCCTTCTCCTCCCTCCCACCCAATGTAGACGCATACACAACTGTTTCAAAACTCCCATGAACTTTAATTTGGGTCGTACATTGAAAATGTTGGTCAGAAAGTATGGTTAGAAAGTGTGTGTTTGTTTATAACTATCTCACCTTCCTGATGCTCCCACTCAGACTGCCCTCTGTAGGTAACGTTAGAGCCAGGTCGTCATCGGAGGCACCGTCTGACAGTGACATGTCAAACTCTCTGTGGAGAATTTGTTTCAACCATCGTTTTATTTTATCAGTAAATCTTGCACACGATAACAGTGTTCCACATGGACATATTTCATACACATTTGAAGAAATTACTAATAGCAGAAAAAACAGTAAGCTAACTAGACCCGGTTATAATCACTTGCCTGTTCGCAGGTTCCTCCATCATAAAAAAACACAGCGGCGGCTAAAAAGTCCACACATTTCTCCACTTTCGTGCCGTCTGTGTAAAGCCAGGCCACATCTGAGTGAGATAAACAACTTTCCTCTGTGAAAAAACGTGATACCTCCTCCTTCTACTCCTCCTCAAACTGCCACAACTCCTCCGCTTGCTTTTTTTTCCTCGTTTGTGTTCAGCTTCAGCAGCTTATTCACAGGGAAAGCCAATGTAGAAATTAGCCAATCATCTTACAGCATTGCAAAGTGACAGTCAAAATAACAAATCAGAAAGAGGATTACAACCCGAACCATTGCTACGGTAAACCAATCACAGATTGGGGTTCCACGAGCCGTTACTATGACAACTACAGGGTTGTAGCTCTCTATGGCTCCACCTACTACATGCTAATACTGATACAAACTTAACATGACTAAGGCAAATACAATTGCGGATACGGACACCAACTAGTATTTAACGCTAATACTAATGTAAAAATGCAAATAGATATAACACATGCGAATAATATTATAGACTACATAAATACTAGTACAGGTCTCGCTTGTTTTCATCTTAGTAGTAGGCCTACTTGTATTACTTGTATTACAATAGTAATACAAGTAATATAATACGGATATTAACACTCTTACAATCGACAATAACAATACAAATACGTATGTTTATACAAATACTCGTACTACTACTGGTAATAACAACGCCAACGTAAAACTTACATTAACAAATTTTGATGCCAACATTTATACTATAAGGGACATTCATACAACTAATAGATAGATGGATGAATAAATACTTGATTGATACCAAAGGACTGATAGGATATTAATCCCACATGACTGATGGTAATGTGACAATGGTATCAATATTACTCTCATCCTTTTGGTTTTCATAGTTATTTTTTAGCCCCTCATTGCTTGACTTCTCAGCTTTACAAAATCACCAGTTCAGCAAATTTGTTTTTACACCATATACACGTAGAAGAGCTAACTTATCAGTTTATTCCATTTGTGTTTTCTACCTGTCCCTGTACAGCCAGCTTGTAGCAAAGTGGTGAAGTTCGAATGAATTGATGAAAATAGTAAGTGGTTGCTGCACTTTTTTTGCTTTTCAATTTGGAATTTCTCCAGCCAACCTGTTAATTACAGCGTTTCTTCCAGTCTTGGTGACTGCGTCCACACAGCAGGATGGTCAGCCCAGGGCAGGGTTATTCAGTCGAGGAATTTCATTGCTCGAACTTTGTACAGTATAACACAATCATCTAAAGAAACTCGGTAGGTTTGTAGGAGATCCAATTTGTTTAAATTAATTTAAATGATTTTGTTTCAAGAAGATCCTTTCACATTTTCCTTTATTTGTTTAATGATCTTTATTGTAATTATGTTAATCAACATTTAGTTCTGACTTCTCATTTATGAAGGTTTGTCTAAATGTTTTATATTTACTGTCTTTTCGTACAAAAAGTCACCCAGTAGTGGTCCGTTCTCTACTGCTCCCACAGGCATTTCTACTCTTTGGCCACTTGAGAGCGCTACTATACATGCTTCATCACGATAAATTCTTTACCGCGAGATAAAACACAAAACACATTGTAGAATTTTATATATAACATATATTGCCTAAAATATATTGTGCCTAAAATATTTTTGATTCATTTTCCGCAGTTCTCCAATAGTAAAGACATTTTTCTGAAGGTTTAAAACCTAAATATGATAAACAATTTTTTTAAATAAATAAAATAATTCATATCACTTCATATTATAAATTTAAGCAGGTTTATTTGATCATGTTAGTGGCCCAAGGTTTGCGGCACTCAGACTTTATGGACATTTTTTCTACTCTGGAGCACAATTAACACCCTGCTGGACGCTGTTTGAGTCTGGAGATGCTCAGGGAGCTGACAGGTTTTCGGCTGAAGCTGCTGTGGTGACAGGACGTCCCACTGAACAAGCAAAAGGTTCTGCTTTGGAACAGATGGTCACCAGGTTTGGGCAGGTTGCTGACAATCCCAGTTGCCCTTTCATTAGCTTCTGTGTCATGCACTTATTTAACAGGAGACATGGTTGACAGGCAAGAGCTCTGCTCAGCAAAGTGGGTAGGATGCTAGAGTTTCTCTGATCTCAGAAAGCCTGTTGTTTCCAGTTGATTTTTTTTTAAGTTAGAACAGAGTAAAACGGTTTCATCAAGCACAAAGCTCTCCCTGATGGTAGTGAAGATCCAGTGCTGAGCCTCAGACATGTTTATCCCAGTCAGACTAGGACTTTGTGGAAGTATTAGAAGAAATTCATGGCAAGGACGTCTTTCATCCTAAGGCACGGTATTACACATGTGAGCCATGTTCCGTCCTTGTTTGCTCATTAGTATTTTCTCTGCGTCCTTACAGCAGTTGGTCAGTGCAAAAGAGAACCTCAGAGAATGTGAAGTTGCCGAGGAAGGAGGAGGAGGAGAAGGAGAGTGAACAGCTCCTACCTTCAAGGTCATGTTACTTCAGTTCCAATGCTTGATCTTGTGGGATTTCTTAAGAGGAAGATAATAAGCAAAGAAGTTAGAGATCAGTGTGGGGAGGGAGATGGGGAGAGGACGGGTGGGGTCAGACCACAGATGTTTGTGATTTAAGGTTAAGTCATTCCAATGCTTTTCTGCTCAAGGAACAACATTGGTATTCTGTAGAGCCTTTTGACATCACATAGACATTTTTAACAACTCTTCGTCTTACGTTAACTTTAAATTTTAAATTTAAAGCCAATGAAACTAAACTGTAAATGTATTTGAATTGTTTTATCCTCTCCCTTTAAGTGTATCCAGAATTCCTTTTTAAAACAGTTGTTTCATATACTGTATACAGTAAACTCTTCTTGTTCAAACCAATTTATTGTTTTTTTACCAAAGTAATATCAAATTTCTTTTTTTTAAAAAATCCTCTGCCACTATGGCTGTTATAATAATTATTTGTCTTTTTCTACCAGGGTTACAAGTCAGGAGCTCGTGTGGATTCAAACCCTCGACTTTTGAATGAAAGGTAACATTTTAGCATAGCCCTAAATAAGATGTATAAAGATTATATATATATATATATATATATATATATATTATCTGTATTGACCTGCCATAAGTGACTCGTAGTTAAATAGATATTTACATGAAAACACAAGTCTTTTTACAGAAAAGACATCTCACTAAAACAACAAACAGAAATATCCTGATTCCTTACACAACCTACAAACCTCTTACTTCTCATTTATACTTTATATGAATACTCATTAAACTATCAAACTTTCACTTATGATTATTTATTGGAGAGAAAAGTTGATAACAGCAACAGTGTGGTGAAAAATTATTCATGAAACAGAACTTTTCACGTTAAAACACTTTGTTGCAGAAGTAGACACATTTTGAAGGACGTTGTCTTCCTTTTTTTTTTTAACTTGACTTCCCACCCTAGAGTTTAATGTCCACTAATTTTCAGCAGCTGTGTTTACAACCCCAGCCTCAGTACAAACTCCTGCATAAATGCAGCTGTGAGAGGTAAAATCAAAGACTGAGTATAAGAAATGGAGGCAGGGGTTGACTTTAAAGCCTTAGGACTTGCATAACAAAGGGACTAATATCTTTATTATATTACTAAAATAATACCATGTTCTAAATATAGAAAATCACCTGAATCTATTGATTGACATCAAAAACAACAAAATAAAAATGTTTATTGCCAACTCACAAGGCTTCATTCTCCCACTGACTATGAATTTACAGCCAAAGCCATGTCTTGTCCATTTCTTATAAACGGTCTCCCTATGTCAGTAGCCCTTAACAGTGAGGTAATAAAGGTAAACAGAGACTTTAACGTAAAAGTTGTTACACTTTAGCTTCAAAGTGCTGTGTTTGGATTCTGAGAAACCAAAAATCTTTAACAACTAAAAATATTAACTTATTTTCCCACAACAACAATGGGCTTCTATTTTTTACTTCCATATTGGATTTTTGCAGTCAGAGCTCTGTTGGTGCTTAAACACACTGACTTACAAACAAGACACCACTGAACACTTTTTGTGAACTCCTAACAGGTCTATTATAAAAATGTGCACACGTCTCTGACATAATGGACGTTGATAATTCTTTGAGATTATGCATACATGCTTTGCAATCAGGGCTATTCTTATATATGTATATATTTTTTTTTTTCTATGAACTTTATTGTTGTGTTAACAGGCTGCTCTGTGGAGGCTCTGCGAATGTGGTTCTTACTTGTTCTGAATGTTGTAGTGATCAGGATAAGATGCAAAAAACTGATAGTGATGGTAGACTGATTAGGTAGATTATGTTCCATTCACTTGTCCACCTTGTTACAAAGTGACAAATTGACAACAATCTTTCAAATTTCAGTTCAAAGAAAAACGTGTTATGCTTACAGATGACGCACTGTTGAAGTATTTATCCTGTTTTTGCTTCTAACAACAATGTCAAATCAACACGTCGGGTAGAACGTCGGGTACATTTTAACAAAAACAAATTGGATAATTTGGCCCCTGTAAAGTATTGCCAAATACTGCCACTTGTAAAGATATCGATTCTACATTTTACAGTAGGTAAGATTTTTTACAAAAACATGAGCCACAACACTCAAAATAACATTTAATTTGAATGGATATTTAATGGTTCAAGTAGAGGGCGCTGTAGCGATGAGTAATAAGTAGTGTTTGATAGTTTGGTTAAGCCCTGGACTCTGCAAATTCATGGCAAGAAAGTCCAAAAAAAGTTTATCCAATTTAACAATTGAGTACATAACACAATACCCGCAAATACTATGAAATGTACTTTTAACATGTCCCTATAATGTGACCACAGTGAGCTGCATACAACAGTGTTACGTAGGATATAAAAAAATACTTATATGTCACAGTTTCCCACAGGTTTTAACAGATCACTCGAAATTATTAGCAGCTTCCGTTAACAGTCAGTACTGCAGGGTTGAGTCCTAACACCAGAAGACGAGTCCTCCGTCATTCCAGCACAGGCTCAAAATTCAACTGTCCCTTTAAGGTCAGCACATGCAGGTGATGAAACTGTAGACTGAACTTCAACCCACGACAGATCCACCTTTTAACTCCACTAGAAATGCATGCAAATGTTTGGGGGTTTTTGTTTCTTTTTTTTCATGTTAGGTCCCAGCTGAGTGAGTGTCTGGTGGTTGGTCTGGTAGAACCTCGTCTATGGTGACCACTATCTCCTCCGGTCTGGTGGAGCTCAGACAGTTGGAGGTGTGTTTCAAGGATATGTAGCTCATCTCCATCAGCCGTGGCCTCTCTCCCAGGTCGCCGGCCTCCATCTTACCAGTGGTGATGCAGTTGATGTCGCTATTGTTACGGTGGGAATATCGCTGAGAGCCCTGGAGCCAGTCTGAGAGGAGGTAAAGACAAAACAGTGGTACGCACAAAATGAATGGGTTCATTCCAGGATATGTTCATAGCTGGTGATCACGGTGGACTTGGGACACAGCATGGAATGTGAGCACGCTCAAATCAAGTCATCTGGGTAACGAGAACCTGCACAAATGACCTGTGAACTCTGTCTGACGGAACGTTATGATGGATTTGGCCTCTGTAATTCCATTAGAGTCAAAGCACCATAAAATTGTTTCTGGGGTAGAAGTCCACAGCTCGACTGCCCCATCAAGTGTGGTGAGGCCCTTTTAGATGGGGGACACATCAATCATGGTTCTGTCAGAGGAGTAGCTGAGATTAAGGCTGACAATGGTGTGTGTGTGTGTGTCTGTGTGTGTGTAACAGACATATAGACAGAGTGGGAATCACAGAATTGCTACATGACACATTTGTGGCCCCTGGTTGAATTGGCTTTCTGGGAGGTGCATTTAGAAACAAATTTTGCAAATTTAATTATTTTATTTGGAGCCATCAGTGAAACTGTTGTTTTTACACCAGCCGCAAGAAAGAACTACACGTTGACGTAGGTACAGCAGCCGTCATGTCTGCAAATTAAAAGCTGCCTCTGAAGGTGGCGCTGTGGCTTAGTTGGTTAAAGTGCCTGTCTAGTAAACAGGAGATCCTGGGTTCAAATCCCAGCAGTGCCTTTCTTTCAAGATTTGTCATTGGCCCTTCATTTTCAACTATTTCCCCAGTGTGGGGTCATGTTTAATCTAATATCATCTAATAATCTAGATTATTTAAAATAAATAACTACGTATCTAATCTGACAGACTCCTTTCAAACTTCCAGCTGTGAGAAGAAATCAGCTACATTTACACCTCAGCATGTCTCCCTGAAGTCTAAACGCTCTGTCACCTCTGTGTTTGTGTATTCTGTTGTGTTATGTTTTTGTTTTTTTTTGTGGCTGTTGTTCATAAGTGGGGGGTGGCGGGGATGGAGGGTGGGGGAGTGAGGTCAGCACAGGTGAAGGCAGACAGACCACTGAACTGTCAGATATCAGACAAGGGTCACCGTGTCTCTGTGGCAGAGCTAAGAGCTGCAGGCTGTGACCTGTGAGATCTTTGTTTTCTCACTTACTTGGTTCACTGCTTTCACCGCCGTCACCTTCTGTAACCATCGGCCTGCCACCACCTGCATGTAGAAAAGACACTTTGTGAGGCCAACAAAAACAATGCTGCCTCATCATTTATAATGAACTGAAAAGAAAAGTCACCCCTCTGTTTTGTTTAACAACTTCATGGGTTAAAAAAAAATTTTTTTTAAGCATTGTTCCGTGTGGGTAAATGGCTTTAAAGTGTTTTTAGGGATTTTATTTGTGCATCCGTCTAACTGGGTCACACTGGGATCAGGTGCAGGGGATTGGGGGGGCATGTCAAAAACTATGTATACATGTGCAGAATTATTTAGCTATAAAAAGGTTCTACGTTAATCCTGAGGGCATTTCTAATAGGTTTGTTCTGTTCTTAGTCCAGATGGGATCCTGC